GTCGAATCCTCACTGAACTGAATCCTCACTGAACACTCTTCCATGTGTGAAATTCTAAGTTTACTTTTTATAACGAATGTACAGGTGTGCAGCCTCTTTTTACAGTTTAGCCCCCCATCATAACTGATTTACTTGAGGTGTAACACTTAGGAACACAAAGCCAACAGCAAAGTGTCATGGGTTCTTTTCAGATAGATGAAACTATGGTAATACACTACTTCAGATGCAACAAGCATATTTGAAGAGAAATGGGCAGGAAAAGAGAGAATTCACAATGCAAAACTGCAAAGTTTATTTTCTTAAATAAAATACTATATTCATATCTATACAAATAATTATTACAACCATTAAAATGTTACATTTAACAATAAAAATTTCAAAACTTTAAACAAGAGCATGTTTTGGAATATTCACATCCTAATACAATGTGTTTTGTAAAAAGATGTCAAAATAAACAGGGCCCATTCTTATTTACAAGTGTGGGACAATCCTGATCCTATTATACATCTGCTCTGTATTCCATTACAAAACAAATCAGTTTCCATTAGCATTATAAACCAGGTGATTTACAGTTATAGGACACAGTGCCCAGCAGAATGCTGGCTGGGTCATAGACAACATATTACACGGCCAGAGCACTAAACTCATGTTTCCTGGTGCTTGCCTACAGTGTATCTATAAATACTTTGTGAAGGTAATCATGTTCTCCTCAATTTTCAACATTTTTAAAAAGCCAAAATGAACACACACACACACACACCGCTGAAAGTGGAAGAATTTTCCTTCACAGTAACACGACTGCAGCATCTTAAGCCACGCTGTCTGGTCCCTTCTTAGAAGCTAACAGTTCAACACCCCACACACTCACCACTCTAGTCAAGCTCTGTGCTCAGAGACCCTGCAGATGAAAATGACTTTAAGACTTCAGGAGCAGGAGGGCAGAGATGTCTCAGAAAACATGAAGACGAAGTTAAACTTTAATTTCCTATTAGATACTGCATGTACAGCTGTACACACAACCGGGCCCAAAAAGTTAAAGATCATCTTTTTTTTTAAAAAAAAAAAAACAACACAGTGTGTGCTACATTACAAGAGAGGTTTATCCATGTCTCATGGAATCTAATGGGTTATGTATTCATCCAAAAGAACTTGCCTAATCTTCTCAACCTAAGTTGACTTGTGTTTATGAAGCACCTGACAACATGTATGTGCCCAAAGGAAAGATTACCAGGTAGAATTTACACAAAGGTAGAAATGAGGACATTGAAGGACTGCCTGCCACACAAGCTCTGTGTTTACAGGTTCAGCTACACAACTCACCAGTGACGAGTTTGTCAATGGTGGCTCAGGGGTGCTAAGGCAAGAGTGAGAAGTATCAGCTGTACTTGTCATCTATGGGGTGTGTGACTACACGGCACGAGCATCCCTGGAGCTCCTTCGCTGCAACACAGGGATGGCTGGGTGATATGTTCTGGGATCTGGTCTCAGGATCAGAGGCACAGTTTCAGGTAGAGTGCAGTACTAGGGCAGAGGCATGTCATCAGAACCAAAAGCTCTGAGTCCAAGTCCTAGGTGTGGTTTCCCAGCCTGTCTGGACTGGCTCAATCTGAGTGTGGTGAGCCCCACAGGAGCTACTAAAAACAGTTTAGATTTCACTATAGGAGAATTCAGCACAGTAGTAGAATGCAGAGCAACTGAGCAAAAAACAAGTAAACAAAACAAACAGAAAACCTTGCTATTTGGTAGAACTTTGGGAAAAAAAAAAACAAAATGTCAACATTCAGCTCAAAAGGAATCTCTTAAAAGAAGCTAATTTGCATATACACATTGCAAAATCACCAGAGAACAAATCCACACCAGGGTCTCTGGTCATTTGCTAATTGTTGCCCTACATACTAACAGCCACAGGCACTTTCTCCAGGTAGTCAGCACCCACATGACAGGACTGCTGTGACCCCCAGGTGGCTGAAGATATGAACTGAAGGCCATTTTGGTACCTCCTTTACCTTTCCTTCCACCACAAGGAAAAATCCACCAAGACAAGGAATGTAGTTATTCCCACATAAAAAAATCTCTTAAGTCAAGCTTTAAACTAATGACATTTTGAGGAATTGTTGCCCTTTAAGAAAGAGGCATAGGGGTTTCAAAAAGGTAAAAACCTGGGACCCACTATTACACACTGATCTAACAGGATGGTGCCATCACATTCTAATGCCAGAGAGAACTCTATCCCAAGGACATGGCCAGGCTTCCTGCCATCTATTTGATGTGGAACAGCTAAAAGAGTCCAAGAGCCTACATTCCTGTGTGAAGGAAAATTAGAGCCAAGAAGAAGCATAGAAGCGAGTCTCAACCCTTTCTTAGTATTTTAAATGTTTCCATTAGAAGGTGCTTCTACATCTTCTTGGGGCGTAAGTTTTATTAGCCTCTCTCTGAGACAGTTAATACTAGAAGGCCAGAATAAGGCAAAGGAAGCCCATAAAATATAAAAACAACTGTGTGCTTTAAAAAAGGCTGACATAAATGGCTAACCTTCATTGCAGTTCCTCATACTTCTGATCTGTGTCTGTGACTGCAGCAGACATCTCTACCTTTCAACCCAGAGCTCGGATCCCTCAGATTTCTAAAATCACACCACTGTGGAAATCCTGCCCTCCCCTCAGAGAAGAAGTGACATCTGACATCTCAGAGCTGTTCCAGTAAAATCAAACCTGTAACATCTGAAGAAATATAAAACTTGTACAAACCCAATGTCTATTAAAAACATTAAAATGGATTTACTTCATCTGTGATTGACATATTTAGCAAACTCACTGAAGACATTTACATAGAGAAATCTAAAAATCTCCACTTCCTTAAAACTTGTGTGGAATGCTGAGAGGAACCGAGCACTTTCACTAATTCTATGTGATCAATAGTTAGAACAAAATGATACAATCAATGACTCTCACTTAGGAAGTAGTCATGGTTTTTCCAGAAATTACAAAGCTATCTGTGGAGACATTTTATAGAGTCATGCTAACAAGCTGGGGGCAACTTGAAATTTACAACTGAATTTACTGCATTTTCTGCCATTATTTCAACAGAAGTTTTGTCTAGAGATTAACAGAAACCATTTATGTTTCCTCCCCAGATCATGCAGCTTTAATAATTGACACAGATGATAGGTACCCAGACTTTTAAATCAGGCAGGAGCACAGTGAGAATTCTCTTGCATCCGAGCCCATGTATGAGATGATATCTAACACACATATACACTGTGTCTATTTAGAGCCACATGTGAGCACGAGTCTAGTTATCTGCAGACCTTTACCTCTCCCGATGGTCACCAAAAGCTAGAACCAGACAGCATTGCAGTACAGCATTCTCACTGTGAAAGCCTGGCGCTATCTCAGTGCAGAGCTGAGCTGCAGTCAGTCAACCAAACAAAAATAACCCAAGTAGCAACAGGCTTTAGGACTCATGCTGCAGTCTCAAGTGGCTCTTCTCAGCAGGGTGGCACAGTGCACCTCTAGTCCCAGCTACCTAGGAGACTGAGGCCTGCTTATACCCAGGGATTCCAGGCCAGTCTAGACAACATGGCAAGATCCCTGTCTCAGAAACACAACACAAACCTGAACTTTGTCCATGTCATGTTACCTTAGTTCAGACTGGGCGTGTCTGTCCTTCAGAACTCAAGAGCCACCATGATGTGAGGCTACATATGTGAAAGGCAGACAGCCCAAGAAGAGCAGGGGATGGCTGGCTATACAGAAGACTGCCCTTAGTGAAGCTGGCAGATTGGCCCTTTCAAGTTCAAAGAAAACGCTGAATATTCGTGCCTAAAAGCAATCTCTTTCCCTCAGTAGCTTTCCTATTGTGGTGTTCACATTAAGTAATTCACTCCTCAAGTTTTTTTCTCCCCCCAGGAATAGGACGCAGGGAAGGAACACAAGTTTGCCTAGTTCATCAGGAGGGGTGATTTTCAAGGGCACCAGAAAGAGAGGGGTTTGGTGAAAACAGGTGACCAGGCACATGGGACCCTTTTGCTGAGCCTTTAGAAAGGTATTCAGTGGTAATTGCTCTGATGGACCCTGGGCAGCAGCTTTCATAGTTTAAAAAGACAGCAAACCAAAAAACAAAACCAAAAAACAAACAAACAAACAAAAAAAACCCCACCACCACCACCACCACCACCAAAAAACCTTCAAAACTGAAACTTCTGCTGGTCCCTGGGCTTGCTTCCTTCCACAGAGCCAATGGGCCCATTCTGTGTACCTCTCCCTCTATTTAGTTTTTAAGAGTGTAGCAACAATTGAAAGCTATGAGTTGAAACAATTTAAAAAAATTCAGTACAACTTTTTCTTAGCTTTAATTTCTCAAGATTCAATATATGTTTAAAATTCATTACTAATTCGTTGGGGTTAAAAAAGTATCTACAGCGGGACTCTTTTCCTCCTGTTGGGCTGCCCCATCAGTCCTGGACGTGAGGGTGCGTGCCTGATCTTGGTGCAGCTTGTCATGCTGGGTTCAGCTCAGGCCCTGGGTAGCCTGCCCATTTATTTATTTATTTATTTATTTATTTATTTAAAATATCTTTTTATTTTATTTTTTTAGGAGAATGGAGGAGGACTGGATCTGGGGGAGAGGGGAGGTGGGTGGGGCTGGAGAACTGCAGTTGGGATGTAATGTTTAAGAGAATTAAAAAAAAATCTACAGTATGTTTTCCTATGCTTTAGAACAAGGGCTTTCAAACCTGTGGGTTGTGACCCACTTGGGGGTCAAAGGACTCTTTCACAGGGGTCACCTAAGACCATCCGAAATCACATATTTACATTACAATTCATAACAGTAGCAAAATTACAGCTATGAAGTAGCAATGAAAATAATTTCATGGTTGGTTGGGGGTCAGCACAACATGAGGAACCGTGTTAAAGGGTTGCAGCATTAAGATTGAGAACTGGGGCTTTAGAGCAAGCCTCAACTGCCCAGCTGCAGACAGCAGCTCTATGGTCATTTCCAATTTGTTCATTTCCAACCGAGACAAGATTATATCAATCTATCATGTGCAGCATGATAAATAAATATGCATATATGATATACATCTCCAGTAGTGAGGGCCAGTCTCTCTACTCTAAAACCATTTCCACACCTACTCTCATTCATGAACACAGACATACATAGTGAAGGTATTTTTGTGAAGCACCATTTCATACCTACAAGAAAAATAATGAATTCATTTTCTTATTATAACTGTTATGAAAGACAATAATGTAATTTACAATGCCATATTTAATATAAATAATCAGCAAATGAAAAGACTTAGACAGCTTAAAACTTGACTCTGAAGTATCTGAAATGTATCTTCTAAACACAACATTTACTGAGCAGGTCTAACATTTAAGTGATTGTAAATTAATGTATTTCAAGACCAAATAAATAGAATGAAGAGAGAATACTAAATCAACATAACTGATGAAGCACTAGTCAGTAACTGACACCAGGGAAACTCACAATACAACTGCTGTTATTCTTTGGCCTAATGCAAAACCCAAGTACTAAGTGGAAAACATTTCTGAATTTTGTCTTAGCTTTGTATTTTTTAAGGCTCATTGTCTAAGGAAGACTTTTGCTTTGCAGAATCTTGGCACATTAAAGGAGAATGTGGCTCCCTACTTTGAAGAACAAGACAAGAAATTTAGGTAGTTTATTAAAAATTATAATTAAGAAAGAAGTCTCTATCAAAGCTCAGGAATGAAGGCTGATCAAACACTTCATTTTTCTATCTGCCTGATATTTTTACTTATGGGAATTCAACTCATTATCAATTCATTACTTGCCATGGTTCAGAACTGTTAGATGTTGACATCAGCAAGCACCTATAATGAATCATGATTTCTTTCAAGTTGCTTTTCCTTTTGGATTTGCAATTTAACCACCTCGACTATCTATTCTACAACTTCTCAACAACCGAGTTTAAAATCTCAGCTCCCTCCTACCACCCAGCATGTGCCAAGATCCTTCAACTTCGGGCTGATTAGTACTTGGGAATAAAAGACTACAAATCAAGCTTGGAAAGGTAAATCCCTTAGATCAGAGAAAGCACATCGCACAAGAATAAAAGATGATTGTTTCAACAACCCCAGTGTATGCATCCTCTCTGACATAGCTTCCTTGTAGTCAGAAGCTAACTGAAAAATGGTTATCCAATACAAAGACACATACCCATATAAGCTCTCTCAATGCACATGTGTATACAGAAGAACAGTTGTCATTTTTACCCAAACCTTTATAGTTAGTCTCTCTGGATTTAAACAGCTGAACTGCAATCATGCCCTAAAATATGGCTTATGTTGTGAGCAGGTCTGTTTGAGGACTGCTTGGAAGAGTCAGAAGCAGAGGAGTTTGCTATGGTAAGCAAAGGTGACATTGCTGAACCATCAGGAAGAGCCGCCGCTATTTCTGGAAACAATGACGTCATATTAAAATTGGATAGGTGAGAGTTGGCCATGTGCATTGGTGGCATCTCGGGAAGAAGAGGGAAACTTGGCTGAGCAAAGCCGACAGGTCTGGGAGGAGATAAAATTGACCCAAATCGGTTGTTTAAACTTCCACTGTTCACTTTCTCTGTGCTAGGATTGGAGAACATTTGGTTAGAAAAATAAGGGATTGAAATGTCATTGGACAGAGTAGGATGAGCAGGAGAGTATGGTGGGTAGAAGGAAGGCAGAGTGTTCTGGGGATCCACTGGGATGAGAGCTGGAGCTCTGGTGGCACTAGGCTGAGTAACCTGTGGGATGAAGGAAGTATTAGTATTTATTGGTGGATTCATGCCACCCTCAGGAATAAAAGGAAAACCAAAATTCTGCGACAGTGAATGCTGGTCAGGACCCGAATTATCATTAGGTACTTGTGGACTATCAGGCATGAAGCGAACAATACTTCCTCTCTTCTCTGCAGCAGGTTGTTGCCGTCCAAGAATCATACTGCCACTAGTGGAGAGAGGAAGATGAGGAAGACTTGGATCAAAGACATTACTGTGTCTTTGATTTCCAGAACGATTCCTTTCAGGCTGGCGGATTTTGGAACCACTGCTGTCCTGCAGGGGATGCCTTGATCTCTGGGCAACTGAAGAGTTAGCCTGACGCACAGGAGGCCCTTGGTCAGCATTCCCATGAGACACAGCTGGGTGTGGCAAAGTTGGCCTTGCAACCCCATGCATGTTGGATGTGACAGGAGGGTTCATGTGGCCCTTGGCCCCATGACTGTCAGTAATCCTCATGGGATTGGACTTCTGTACGGAAACATTGGGACTTGTGTTTCGACCTTGAATATCCCCTGAGGAAGAGGAACTCGAAAAAGGAATATTCAAAGAGCTGTTCCTGGGGTTAATTGCACCTAAAGACATGTCACAACTTTCCCTATTCTGACTTTCACTCTCTCTCCTGATATGAACACTTTCACGAGTTGGTGGACAATTATACTCAATTGTTGAAGATGGACCACATTGTGTATTCCTTGGATGTTCCGAGAGGGATCTTTGACTCCCAATGACCTGATCACCAAGGTGAGGAGCAAGCAGACTCTGCATGAAACTCTGGTGACATGTATTCTCACTGTCCCTTGGTGGGACAGCATTTCCTGTTGGGATGCTCTGAACTGGTGGATAAGATAATCTCTTTTGTCGATCTATTGGTGGTGGGCCAGTGTTTTGACTAATTCGAAAAGCCTGGGACTGCATGCTTCTCAGTGATGGCACAGGGTTACCTATTTCATTGTTTCGTGAAGACTGTACTTCAAAATTACTCTGGGGCTGTTGGCTGGCTCCACCTGGTTTGAATGTTTGGCAATCAGAAAGGCGGATATCTGAGGTGACAGTATGATCCATGCGACCCTGCATATTATGGAGTGCCAAACTCTTATTTCTGGGAACATCAAGATAGCTTCTCATTTCAAGCTGATCTGAAACCCTGGAACCCTGAATGGATATGCCCATTCTCTGTTCTGACGTAGAAGGTGACTTTCCAATGAGTGCTTCGGCAGAGTAGCTTGACACTCGGTTTCTCTCTGGCCTGTGTGGAGCACAGGTCATGTCTGAAGACCTCGTCACAATACTTGGTTGGGATACCATTTGCTGCTCCAAGCCTCTTGATGGTAAAAGCCTCTGCATTGGATTATGCCCAGATACGTGGTCAGAAGAAACTGCTGGACCCTGCTGTCTGCTTCCGCCATCCTGTTGCTGGTGTAGAGCATCCTGACTGAGATGGTTCTGGGGATGGCTATGGCCATCCTGTTGCTGGCGTAGGACGTCCTGACTGAGATGGTTCTGGGGGTGGCTATGGCGTCCCCGGCTAGCTGAAGGGTTTTCACAGCTCTTCTCAGGCTGGGAACTTGCGAAGTGTTGCTGCAGTTGTTGCTGCAGCTGTTGATGGTGAGGATGTGGCTGGCTACTCTTGGGTCTCGACTGGTCAGTTCCATGGTGCTTCGGTTGTAAGGATAGCTGAGATGTAGGAGTGCCCTGAACGAGATTCCTTTTCTTCTGCATCTGAACTTCTTGCTGTAGAGTTCTCTGTTGGTGCACAATATGGGGCTGGGAGTGGACAGCATTATCTGCATGAGGCACGTGATGCTGCAGCTGATACAAGTGATGCCTCTCTCTTAACTGTCCTGCTTGTTGCTGCTGTTGCTGCTGCTGCTTGATGTACAGATGGTTGGTGTGAAGGTGAGACACTCCTTGAGGTGGTACATGCTGCTGCAGTGCCTGCAGATGTTGACCTGCCTGGGTTTGCTGCTGTTGCTCAGCAACTGAAGGCTGAGAATTACACTGAACATCCGTCTGCCTCAATGCAGGAACCACAAAGTTGTTACCAGGTGGGAATAACCGTGTAAGGCCATCTCCATGTGCTGGGTTGCTGACAACTGAGTTCGAGGAGTTGGGGGTGATCTGACTTGCCATCATTTGAGTTTGATCAGGAATGTTGTCTGGAGTCCGGCTCATCAGGGGCATACTTTCAAGTCTGAGAGGGGCTGGCTGACAATGCTTTTGACGTTTGGCTGAAGATAGTAAAAGATCGTCTTGTACAGTGCGCTTTGCAGAGTCTTTACGACTCTCATGACTAGGCTTTGAAAGCGGTTCTTGAACCTGTGGATTTGGTATAGCACTAGTCATGCTGTTCAGTTGTTCCTGGGGATATTCTGTCATCAGAGGTGGCACAGGAGGCTGGCTGCCGTAAGAACTAGATGAAACAGTCATATTAACGGTCACAGGATTAGAAGTTTGATCTGAGCTCTGTGATAGACCTGTGCAGCTGACCAGAGGATGGCTGATGCTGTTCTGATGGGTGAGACTTGGTGGCTGAGAGGCTGACACCTGTAAAGGGGCATTTGATGCTTTAATTCCAAGAGAACAGCTTGGCTTTTCAAGAGGCCTATCGACTGTCACCTCCACGGAACCCTGAGAGTTAAATCCATCTGGTGCTGGATCTGCCTGTCCTGTGCAAGTCTCCTTGTGGATCTGGGGTTTAAAGGGCTGGTCTCCCTCTAAAGAGGTTTCAGAAGGCTTTGGAATAACCTCCTTCACATCAGCCTGTGTGCCAAGCCTTCCCTTCTCAATGCTCTCCTGGTCCAAGATAGCTCTTGCAGCAAGGGCCACGATGTCAGTTTGCTCTGCAAAGGTGCATCCGTCACATGTGTTAGTTGTTGTACTGCTGGTCACATCTTCTCGAGCTGTTTCAGGAAGCATGGATGCAACTGAGAAACTACGACTACTGCCAGAGCTGGTTGACATAGGAGAGTCAGCCTGCCTACTGGTGAGCAAAGAGCCATGAATAGCCTCCTGATCAGGGAGGCAGGAGTGGGGCTGTGGTGGATCTCTGTCATCGCTCATCAGCAATAGTTCCTGCTTGGGATGCAAATCAACATTAGAATCACCTATCTTAGAACTTTCTGGAGAAAAGTCAGGATGCTCCATCTGGACTGAGAGTGATGACCTCTGAAGGTCCTTTTCTTTAGCAAGATCAGACAGCAACATAGTTAGTCCTTGCCCCTTTAAAGGCCCTGCTGTTTGCATGGTGTCCAATGAATCCTGCTGAACTGGGCAAGGTTCTGCCACAATTTCTACTTCAGAAATACAGTCAGTGTTTGAAGTGCCTGTAGTGGATGACATAACAGAAACCTGAGAAACCAAACTCTGGGATTCCATTGGAGATGGAGTCAACACATTGGCTGAAGTACAGGATTTTGTAGCACTGGACAATACTACAGAACATGGTGGTGTACCCTGAGATGTCGCTTGCAAAATGGGAGTAGAATCTTTGGGTTTTGCTGGTGCCAATACAAGCTGTTCATTTGTTTCAGATTCCTGGGAGGATGAGCTACAATCTTCTGCTGACTTAGATTTGGGATCAGACTCAGGGATTACTGATTCAGAATTCAGAATGTCCAAAGAATGTGAAACAGAAATACTAACATTCTTTGCCTGAGACACAGCAACAGAAGATAGGCCAACAGGGAGGCTGTCCAGCAGTCCATCACTACATGATGGCTCTGCTGAGCTGTCAATTCTGGGGCTGTCTATCTTGCCCACATCTCTGACTGAATTCAGGGGACATGCTGGCTTGTTAGCTGTTAAGTGTTTCTTGGCACCTGGCTTCTTGCTCAGTCTTTTTGATTTCATGGTAGAGGGCAAACAAGTGACAGTGTTTGTTGAGGAAGCTGTTGCAAGACTGTAAGTAGTGGATAGTGTGGCTGAATTATCTGCTGTCACAGTAGGTGTTACAGTTGTTGCTAGTGAAACACAGCTAGTGGGGCTGGTTTGACTGTTTGCAGAAGTCTGAGGATTAGAAGACTGGCCTATAGATAACTGTACACAGCTTTGCCCAGCCATCTGTGAAATGCTTTGATTGAGGCTGGCCAAAGCCCCAAATGTGTTCAGGGCAACATTGGTATTTGGATCTTCGCTGGTGGTGGGTTGAATAATTTGCATAGGGCTTTGATTTGTAGTTCCTGATGAGGACATCACAGGCTGCAAAGCAAAGAGCTGTCCATTTAAAGAAATGGTTTGAGGCTGCTGTTGGTTTGACATGGTAACAGAAAAAGTCTGTGTTGAGTTAGATGTGGATAGAGATGAAGGTCTTGGTAATATGTGGACAAGATGCTTTCCTCCAAAAGTCTGTGGGGCCGGCACATTTTGCACTGAATTATGAGACCCTATTATAGCACTGGCGCCATTGACAGGCAGTCGAACAGGACCAGGATGGGGAGCAGAGAGGAGTGGCAATGGGTTCTGATTAGCCGCCTGTATGATGACAATCTGTTGACCTACTGTTTGGTTGGAAACCTCTGCCCTCATCATTGCTGGGCATGGGGTTGTGCTGGGTGGCTGAAGAATGATGACATTTTGGTTAGCTGGAGCTGCAGTGACACCTGACCCAACTGGCTGAGCCATCTGAATCACTTGCATTGCTGAATTCAAGGGAAGGATATTTTTGGGAGGCTGAGATTTAACTTGTGGCTGGGCAATTAGTGGTTGCATAGGTAAGGGTGGACATGAAGGCAGAGTCACCACTACTTGTTCAACTGGCTGCCCATCTGCTGGAGGGGAATTATTCAGGGTGATGCCTGTAGCCACATGCTTGTGGTTGCTTGGGGTAGGGCTGGTATCACACTCATTTAATGCTGGAGTTGCAGCAGAAGATGGTGGCTGGCTTAAAGGCTGAATAGTGTTTCCGGCCAGGTGCAATGTAGTCCATGTTGTCTGTGTGTTTCCGGCTGAAGAGATTCGGGTAAGGCTGCTGATGTTCTTTAGTTCTGAAGCACTGACACTTGAAGAAGGCAGAGAACAAGAAAGAGTCCAACTACCCTCCAAAGGATTTGTAGAAAGACTGCTCACTGGGAGGGTACTCTTCGATACTGCAGTGTGGGCCGGTACTACTGCTGTTGCTGTACTTGTTGCGTCTGCAGTCTTGCTTCCACTCACTGGAGAAGAACCACCTGTAGATCTGGGAGGCTGGGAGCACACTGTGGTGGTAACTGACACAAAAGTGTTTTGTGAATCTGCACTGAAGCCTTGCATGCTCCGGTTGGCCTTGGTTTCATGGTGCACCTCGGAGACAGCTGCTGAACTGCCGGAGGAGGTGCCTGAGACACATGCAACTGTTTTCTTGGATGATTTGGTGCTCTCTTGTGCATTGTTATTTTCTGAAGCATTCTGATCATTTAGGCATGTATTCAAGGAACGATGTTGGTGAGGGTCAGGGCCAACTGAAACAGTGACCACCGAGCCACCAGTGGCACTGAGCATACTTGATTGGCTTTCAGAAGTAGAAAGTTCAAGAATGTTTTGAGCAGAAATGGCAGCGGGAAGACAAAGGGGAACAGACTGGTTGGCAGCCAGTGCAGACACTGTAGTCTGATGCCACGGCTTGTTTTCAGAAGGGTAAACTCCAGAAATAGACACAGGAGTCACAAGCTTGCATGTCCTCTGCACTGGCACCACATTGGCCGTTTGCTTTTGCAAGCTGTGACCAACATTAAAGGTTATTCCTTGAACAGCTGTCCCCTGGCTGTTTCCCCCAGGCTGGCTCCCGTTGGAATAAACAATGATGTTTTTCTGGACCTGGTCACTTGGAATAACAACAGACACCTTTGAGGTTTTCAGATTTCCTTTCCAGTGGATTGTGGGGTCATCATACAAGCATATGTCATTTGCTTTCAATAATTCAATATATCGGCCATTTTCTTTTTGGATTTCTTCTAGTTGTTTCCGTAGCTTTTTAATTTCTTCAGCTAAAATATTAGAAATAAAGATGTAAAAATACAGATGAATGTCAGTAATTATAACAACTTAAGGAAAACTATATGTGCTAAGCCAATGAATTCCAATTCTGGCCATTAGATGCAGGAGGACTCTGCATCAGCCAGGAGCATTCTGCTGCTGTAAGGTTTTCTTCTTAAAGTGGTACCTCAAGCCTCCCTTAAATTCCTTTTAAACTCTACACCTTTAAAGGCCAGCCACTGAAAATCTCCTATGGTGTACAAGTCTCAATGTTCTGAATCAAAACCTTTTTGCTGGGCAGTGATGGCGCATGCCTTTAATCCCAGCACTTGGGAGGCAGAGGCAGGCGGATTTCTGCGTTCGAGGCCAGCCTGGTCCACAGAGTGAGTTCCAGGACAGCCAGGGCTACATAGAGAAATCCTGTCTTGAAAAAACAAACCGAACCAACCAACCAACCAACCAAACAAACAAACAAAAAACCCTTTTCAGTACCCCAGTTAATAGATAAAACAAGGGAAGACAGACTTATTCCTGGTAACATGCTCTTGATAAGCTAAAAGCCTCTTTGTTCAGGATTCCAAGGGTAGGGTTACCACAACTGACAGGCTCTTAATAGCATGACACAGAATGCTGAGGTGTACCCTGAGAGTTAGTACTTAACTAGGCCTTGGCTCAAATACATCAATTTGGGGAACATTTTTCAAAGCAGCCTGATATAGTGGTAGTCCAAAGTGGCCAAGACATGTTAGATAGATATCCTCACAGCTACTCACAGAGGACACTTGTGTTCTTAACAAGGTTGACTGGTATAATTCTTAATTCTGCTAATGCTCCATCTGACTGACAAGACCAAGTTTAAACCACGCCAAACACTAGCATCCCTTTTGGCAAATGGCTTTGGAATTGGACCTCTAAATTTTCATAGTTATTATACTTATAATCTTAGTGGTGATTATATTTGTCTTGGATCTTGTGTGCCTACTGTCTCAATTTTTTATCCTCTTATTTAGTCAATCTATCCTCAGATGGTCCTGCAGCAATCTAACTCCATAGAGTTCAAAGTCAGCAAGAACAGAAGCCTTAAATCCTTCTACACTCACCACAGCCCCAAGCAGTCAGACTATCTAGATGCTGAACACCTAAATGACTTTAGGGTTTCATCTCTTGAGGGGGTAATGTAAAGTAGGTAGGTAGATATTGGCAGGCTTGGAGGTCACTGGGATGAGCCCCTCTCATAACCAGCAGGTTTTAAACAAGACCAGAACTTCAGGCTCTGATAACTAGTCAAAGGGGTGGGATCTATGGCATATCTGGAGCTCAGGGTGAAGACAAGACATTCTGAACTAACTATAAGGTCACTACTATAATGGTGTGTGGGTGTAACTTTGTAAAATTACTATATGGCTAGAAGTTTTACTGCCCCCCCTCATTAGAAGTATATCAAAATGGGCATGTTAATCTCTTGGACAGGAGTATATTCTGAAGGGAAAGTTGTCTCTTCTATAGACCTTAGTATAAAGCATGCCTCCAATACAGATTGGAACAGTGGTCTCCTTGACCACTGTCTGCCTTCAGCCTTTGAGTATGTTCTACAGGAATGGTTCCTTTGGCCATTGTTGATCCTTGAGAAGGTGCTATCCTCTCCTCTATATTAAATGAAACAAACTATCCTCTATCAAAAGAACAACAAACAATGCAGGGATCAGGTAATGGATAGAAAATATGCACACAAAGAACCCAAGAACCTGTGATCACAACAGAGATGACAAGAGAACCATTGAAGCTACTCTGTGTTCTGCCCCATCCTGACCTGGCTGCTAGGCCTTTTCCGAACCACATGTGCCTGGTCGTTTGCCATTAGCTTCCCTTTTCACTAAGGTGACTTGCTTGGCCTAGCCTTCTGTTCTCAGGCAAAGGAGCTTTCACTGGAAAAGTCTAAAGATCATTCTAGCCTCAAAGCATCTTGTGGAGAACTTCACAATGTTCCAAATACCAATATATCTAGCCGTCTGATGGAAGCACCCATAAGGGTAGTCTGCATCATTAAGAGAGCTGACTTAGGAAAGCAGCTTTTTAACAGTGTAAGGAGGGATTCTGAATGCTGCCCTCCTGGAAGGGTTTCCAATACTATTCTTGCCCAGTACAAGCAGTGTGGTACAGCATTGTCCAACTTCAGTAAAATATCGTTCCTTTTAAAGTGGTCTACTACTCCTTTTAAGGTTTGTCACAGGAAAGAAACCCTGCTCTTTTCAGAGCCATAATAAAGGGCCACGCAACTGGCCTTCCACCCTGAGTTTTATACTGGTCCAGAGTGCTTCCTTTCACCAATGCTGCTGGGAAACTCAGAACCCACAGCACAAAAAGTTACACCTAAAAGTCAAGTATATTGAATGACCTGGAAGTTCAATATACACTTTATACTAATGCAAACAATTATGATGTGAATACTTTGGTCTTCTGAGTCAATGCATTGTTAAAACTTGGCCCAGATCTATCTTCTAATCTTGTTTATAAGTTACCATGAACACAGCTCCTCTGTGAGCCATCTTCTGAGAGTCTCCTAACTGCAAGATCCAAGTGGAGCAGAGGAGACTTAACACTATTAGTTTCATGACTTAGACAAACATGAAATACACAGAAGTAATCAACGTTGAAGTTATGTGTTTGTACAAGATGCAAATCAACCACAGAGGAAGAGGAGTTCAGCTACAATGATCTCATTTGCAATGCTATTCTCTTGCGATGCTTGAAGGCAAGCCTATTCTGATTTGAGGGTTGGGGGAGCTTTCCATGTCCTCAATACAAGTCACTGCAACACAAACAGGAGACAGCAAGACTCGGCAAGTCTCCACCTTGTTCACTGCTCCCTCCATTGAGCAGGAGTTCATCGTTTTGCCTCTTCAGTTCTGTTATGTACTTAAAGGCTTGGTCCAGGATCATGTTCTTGCTCTGCAAAAGAAAAGTAACAATTTCAACATTTTATTAAAAGTTAAAACCTGTAAGAATACATGTAACATGTGATAGCTTTATCACATGTGATACATAACTTTTTAAAATACAAATTAGGAGAGATCCCAGGTGGCTGCTCTGCACCCAATCTCACAAAACCCAGAGGAAGCGGGCCTACCAGGAGCTCTAACCCGGGCAGCATCTTAGGTAAGGAGACAACAACACCTGCCTCAAACAGGGAGTAACTGGGACCCACTAGGACCCAGGAATTCACTCCTAGCCCAGAGCACTGGTTTCTTCCAGTCTGGGCCTGAGCACTGGGCAGATCTTGGGCCCCAGCTTTAACCCTAGTAGTAACACCCAACCCACACAGTTCTGAAACAACCAAGATAATAGGAAAGACAGGCTCCAGTCAGAGACAGGGCAGGTAGCTCTAAGGTGACCGAGATAGCAAAAGGCAAGCGCAAGAACATAAACATTAGCAATCCAGGGTACTTGACATCATTAGAACCTAGTTCTCCCACACTAGAAAGTTCTGAATTCCCCATATCACCAGGAAAGCAAGACTCAGATTTAAAATCACTTCTCATGATGATGATAGAGGACTTTTAGAAGGACATAAATAACACTCTCAAAGAATTTGAGGAGAACACAGGTGAACAGGTAGAAGCCCTTAAAGGGGAAACACAAGAATCCCTTAAAGAATTACAAGAGAACACAACCAAACAGGTGAAGGAATTGAACAAATCCATCTAGGACATAAAAATGGAAGTAGAAACAATATAGAAATCACAAAGGGAGACTACCCTGAAGATGGAAAAACCTAGGAAAAAAATCAGGAGTCATAGATGCAAGCATCACCAACAGAATACAAAAGATAGAAGAGAGAATCTCAGGTGCAGAAGATACCATAGAAAATATTGACACAGCGCCAAAGAAAATGCAAAAAGTTCTTAACACAAAACATCCAGGAAATCCAGGACACAATGAGAAGACCAAACCTAAGGATAATAGGTATAGATGAGAGTGAAGATTCCCAACTTAAAGGGCCAATAAATATTTTCAACAAAATTATAGAAGAAAACTTCCCTAACCTAAAGAACGAAAAGCCCATAAACATACAAGAAGCCGACAGAATGCCAAATAGACTAAACCAGAAAAGAAATTCCTTCTGTCACATAATAATCAAAACACCAAATTCACAAAACAAAGAAAGAATATTAAAAGCAGTAAGGGAAAAAGGCCGAGTAACATATAAAGGCAGACCTATAAGAATTACACCAGACTTCTCACCAGAGACTATAAAAGCCAGAAGATCCTGGACTGACATCATACAGACCCTAAGAGAACACAAATGCCAGCCCAGGCTACTATACCTAGCAAAACTCTCAACTACCATAGAGGGAGAAACCAAGATATTCCATGACAAAACCAAATTTACACAATATCTTTCCACAAACCCTGCATTACAAAGGATATTAGCAGGAAAGCTCCAATACAAGGAGGGAAATTACACCCTAGAAAGAGCAAGAAAGTAATCCTCTTCCAACAAATCCAAAAGAAGATAGCCACACAAAGATAATTCCACCTCTAATAACAAAAATAACAGGAATCAACAATCACTGTTCCTCAGTATCTCTTAACACCAATGGACTCAATTCCCCAATAAAAAGACATAGGCTAACAGACTGGATACGTAAACAGGACCCAGCATTTTTCTGCATACAGGAAACATACCTCAGTGACAAAGACAGACACTACCTTAGAGTAAAAGACTGGAAAACAATTTTTCAAGCAAATGGTCCTAAGAAATAAGCTGGAGTAGCCATTCTAAAACTTCCAGCCCGAGAACACAAAGGGAGGGACTTATGGCTCCACCTGTATAGGTAGTTGAGGGTGGCCTTGTCAGGCATCAGTGGAAATGGAGGGCCTTGGTACCCAATAGTTTGGACTCCCTAGTGTTGGGGAATTTGAGAGCAGGGAGGCAGGAATGGGAGGATGGTGGGAGTACACCCTCACAGAAACTTCCCAGAATTATACGGATTAGATATGATAGAGACAGGCCACCAGAAGACTAGATTCCAGAATTCAAACAAAAATATCTTAATACTAAAATTTGTTTTGAGAATTGTATATTGCGCTGGGCAGTGGTGGTGCACACCTTTAATCCCAGCACTTGGGAGGCAGAGGCAGGTGGATTTCTGAGTCCAAGGCCAGCCTGGTCTACAGAGTGAGTTCCAGGACAGCCAGGGCTATACAGAGAAACCCTGTCTCGAAAAACCAAAAAAAAAAAAAAAAAAAAA